AAATTAATTTAAAAAATTACGAAATGTTAAAACAATAATTACCAAATTTTAAAATAGATCAAAGAAATGCTAACTCACGATAATTCAAAATTACAATTTCTAATTTAATAGAGTAAACAATGCTTAAAATCCCGATCTGTTCGTTTATTTTTCATGCTTAAGATCTAAATCATATTGGACATAATGAAGAGATTGATATCGATTCTACCAGAATAGAAGCATTCAGTAACAGTTTCGAAGTTAAATTTATTATTTTATACAATTTATTTATTAATGAAAAAACATTCGATTTAATGTTAAATAAGAAATTTTAGATGCCAGTTTGAATTCTTCCATTTTGTAGATGGTCCAAAAGTCATTTAACAATGGTAAAACTAAATTGCAACTTAGCCTAATTAACTTTTAAAAACGCAATTAATTCAAATTGCATTTATTTTATCATATTTCCGTTAAATTTTTTTTAAAGAATAACACGTTCAAAACTCTGTTTACTGTTCATATTCACACAAAACACTGTTAACCCACTTTTGGGCCACCCTCTATATCACAACTTTCTAATGGTTGTATAAATACATACTTTTTACTCATGATTTCTTAAGTATTCATTAAATTGTCGTGTAAATTGACAGAAATAGTTTAAAAAATAATTTTCGGAATATAATGTCAAAACCTTTTTATTACAGAATTTAAAATAGTTTACTTTATTACAGCAGATATAAGCGCATATTTAATTTATAAATCCTATAGTTATATCGTGTATTATATTATTATGTGTATTTTACCTTTAAAATTTCAAATTTAATATTTTAAATAATGTTTGTTAATGTGATTTATATTTATTAAATTGGCATCTGTTTGAAATTTAATTGATACACGATAATTTATCATTGTTCTAGGTCTTTTAGGAGTATTAAAATTACTTTATAAACCTTGAGTAATCACGAGTACAATCATTACTATAGCAGCAATGATAGGAAAGTTTGCTATCATAACAGAACAGCTGGCGTTTTATTTCAACCCCCTTATTTTCAATGGCACTGTACTGTATATGAAAGATTTTTGCACCAATTGTTTATTTTTCTTTCGCTTTTAATATGTACGTTTACAAATGATAATAATTCGTTATAATTTCTATTCATTTTAATACTGAAGTATGAAAATAGGTAAATATATCACGATTCAAATTCTAAATATACGTTCGAGATAAAATTCATCCAATCGATTTTTCCAATAATGCATTTGCCTCACAAGCGGTTATTCCTGACTGCATGCTAGAGAAGATAGAACTAATCGGTTCAAAAATTCCAGATCGAATTGATATAGTTGGATTAACTATTTAAATACAGGGTCTACAGTATTTAATTAGCATTAAATTTGTATACAATCATCATCAATATGATGATTTGCTGAGGGAAAAAAAAAACCTTCCTCAGAAAATAAAATTCAGTTGGAAAGAACAAATTCTCCTAATTATAAGCTAATTAATCATATCAGGAAATAATTCATAAAGGAATTTTTGAAATTATTAAAAATAAAAATACATTTAACAATTTATTATAACCTAAAATTAGAGTTTTAGAGCTCTAACTGTTTGGATTAATTTATAAAGTTTCTAAAACATCCTAATTGAAATTATTATTTTATATAAAGAACTTGTAACTAATGAATAGATCTAATACTTTTTAGTGTTATTATTTGTAATGATTTAGATATTTAAGCCTCAGGGTAAGCAAACAAGCATCATGTGAAATGTTTAAAGCGGTTTACACGATGCTTGTTTGCTTATAACTTTTATACAATGTTTTAATATACCAATTATATATAGACTTAATCATTTATATCAGTTACATAAATATGACAATGAAGATTTCTGGTCAAATAATCGAACAAAAAAAAATTTAGCGCATTAAATTTGCTACTTCATTACCATATTTTTTTAATACTATTATTAATCTGGATGTATAAATTATAAATGAAATGGCTTTATATTTATTATACATTGTTTTGAAATTTTTATTATGCTAATGTATTAAAATAGATTAATATTTATTTATATCCAGTATTAAATTATGTGTTTACTGTAGGACAATAATTTATCATCTTGTATAATTGAGTGAATAAAACTTTTGTCTTTGTTATAATTAAATAATTTCATTGAATAAATAATATTACATTCATATAGATTAAAATGAGAGGATTATACAAATAATCTTTCTAATTTAACTATACAAATGAATATTTGTAAAAAGAAAAGCGCATGAAAAGTGCGAATTTAATTAATAAAATTTGTAATATTTTTATTTAATTTATTATTACTCCATTTATTTTATAAAAAGCTTAATCAACAGAGTTTGAATTTATTTCTCTTAATAAATTCTTTAAAAATAATTTATCTAAGATACTTACGTAACTTCTGAATCCCGGAAGTATTGTAAGATGTGATTTAAGCGAATTTAAAGCTCAATATTAACTGATTTATCCCTCAGTTATATAAAACTTGGTTATAATCAATAGAAGCTACAACAAATATAACTAAATCATTATCAATGTTATTAAATTATACAAATTAAGAGATTCGTTAGAATTATTCCCATGTAGAAATATTAAATTAATATCAAGAGAGAGATTTTTTATAACGAAAAGTTTAATTTAAAAAATATTATATATATAAAAAATAAATTTGATTTTATTCATTGTGAAGTTTATCAATAATTTTGGCCGCGAATTTTTTCATAATTTAATATAATTCCAATGGCTACAACTTAGTAATCCACCCTGTAAATAATGTAGTGAATTAACTAACCATAAAAATGAGATTTATATGTTTCATCGTATGCTTTTGATGATAATATATTAGCTTCATTAATTTTCAGACGCCATTAAATTAAATTGTATCAGTAAAAAAAAAAAAAAAAAAAAACTAAAATATTTTTGATGAGCAGCTTAAGTTAACCGAATATGAAAGTATTTTACTGTATGTATCAACAATAAATGTTCCATGCATATATATATAATAATACACAACTTAATAAATGTCAGAATCCCTTTTTAATTATTCCAACAGCATTGTACAGGTCAACAGTATTTTAATGTTTCTCAATATATACAGGGATCTTAATATTTTTTCCCATTGTGTAGAATATAAAAATGATACAAATTATTCTTATAGTACATTTTCCTTCTTTTCAACTCCACACTATATATATATTTATATATATTTTGGACGTATGAGTCAACATATATTGTCTTTGAATAACTACAATTTTTTAGAATTTTTTTGTTTTTTTGTAATTTTTTAACAGACAGCACATATCAATAGCTAGATAGACAACCTACTACATGACACCCTATTAAGGGTTATAATTCATAATTTTCATGCTTCTGTGTTCTCTGCATCCTTCATGAGCACATCTCAGATATATTATTTTCCTCAACATAGAGTAAGAGATACACTATAGACTATTTTATTTTTTAATAGATGGATTTCTGTTTGTACACTACTGTTTTTTTCCCCTTGTAATCCAGAACCGTATTGTCTAATTTAATATGTGTTTAATGTCGAAACGCTTCCAAAATGGGAATCATTGTGAATTAAACTAACTCTAAATTTATATTATATAAAAATTTATGCTGTTTTTAATATATAATTTGATTAAAATTAGCCGAAATTTATTGCAAATTTAATATTTTCTTAAAAATTAAAGTGGGAGAAATGTGTGTTTTTGTTCCTCCCCAATTTATTAATTGTAATTAGATTCATGATGCTTAGACACTAACTAGAATTATCTACGTTATTTTTTTTAAAAAATAATTCTTTTCACAAAAATCACATGAACATTCGTGTTTATATAATAAATATCTATATTTTTGTAACTTTTATAACAGTACATTTATAAAAATGCGATAGCAAACAGCATCAAGATGGTAATTTGGTGTTGGAGGATAAAAACTCACTATGAAGCATTTATTTATTGTTTTTTTTATAATTTTGGTGAAAGCCTTGCAAGTTTTCTGAAATAAAACTTTAACAAAAATTACGAATACGACAACTCACTTTCGTCGATTAAAAAATGACACAATCTTTCCCATTTCTAGAGTGTTTTGACTTCGCCTAATCCGTATTCTTGAATGACAAAAAAAATTTTATGAAAATAAGAGAGGAAAACAAACTGCGTAACCGAAATCAAAAATGGGTCTATATCTGAACTCCGTATTAGTTATTTTAATTGATTTGCATTTGTTCTATTCTACAACTTTACACAGCACCAACGCAATATGGCTAATTGCATGAATAACATAACCAACCTAGGTGTATTTTTACCTATTGTTGCAAACAATGGTTTATATATATTTTTTTATAGTCGGAGCAATTGCCAGTCGGCATACAACTTGCAATATAAAGTTTCTGTCCATGTGCTCACGAAACGATGAAAACTGTAGCACAGATAAAATGTCCAAATCGTTGCTAACCAGTGGGAAGACTGTTTTCTATAAGTGATAACTTCATGTGTATCACGAATCCATCTAACTATTAGGTGGAAGTCGTATATATATATATTTATATTTATTTATTTATATATATTTTTTTAACTGGTCATCTTGCACCATCGGAGCAATTGATTGGATGACTATAGTCAATTCCAAATCTACAATATATGAATAACACAGCGGACATCAAAGACAGTGGAATGGTACCCGTGTCGTAACAAAGAAGACATCCATGAGATGAGGATAACAGATCCCCTTTATATTAACAGGTCTCGTAATACTTGTTAGGTGCTCTTTGTGTGACGTTGAACCGCTGGAAACATGAAGTATTCTTCTGACCACTTGTGTGGGGGAGTCACTGTACGAGTCGCACTATAGCAGGAACTGTAACATTCGTTAGATTATGAGATTGACACGATATTGAAAATAAGACAAAAATATATAGAAAAGCTTGAAACATTACACCTGAGTATAAGCGAGTTCAAACTTCAATTATCACTCTTGCTATGCTATTTTTTTTTTTCAAGGACTGCGATGTTTTCAACAATTATTATACGTTAATCAAATTTTGACAAAAAAAAGCTCCAAATCTAAGTTATTGCTGCTGTTTAAATTTATATACTTCTAATAAAAACTAGTAAGTTAGCAGCTTGAATATATACATATACATACAAGTAGCACTGAAATAAACTTCAAATTAGAAAAGGGGGAAAAAAAATTGTAATTGGTGACATTTTGTGTGAAAGTTTTGATTTTTCTTCTTGTAACATCCGTCTTCACTTTATAAATTTGCATAGGGACTAAAGAAAAATTTAAAACTGTTCAAAAAATTGTTTACAATAAAAAATTATAAGTCTTTGTTAATGTTTAGAAAGGAATTTCTTACCTTTGATGTCCCGCAATTTGATTAAGGACTGTCTGCTTCCAACATGCTTGTATCAGATCCTCCCCCAAAGGGAGACTCGCCATTGGTTACTTGATGTCTACCGCTAGAATAGCACTAAGGTGGTTTAACTGTCTGTGACGTAAAAGTCTGACTAGGTAGTAAATATAATAGGACAGAATTGCACAGAACGGTGATGTAAAAGATGAGGCGAGCATCCAGCGACGTGGCGCCACTGGTTACAGCCACTTCTTTGTTTTGGTCATCGCAAGACACTCCGACGCCTTCTTTATCAAAATTATCTGGGCCATAACACTGCTCGGGCTGTCCATACAACGAATTGGGCGTTATACTAGGATAGTCGGGTATATTGGGATCTAGAAAGCAGATTTAAAGCAGTGTATTTCCATTTGAGCCAGCGTAACGTTTGACATAGAATATGTACAATTAATATCTACCTATACATTTGAATACAGGTTCTCCAGCATACTGTTCTTTGACTCTTGGGTGGAAATACGGGCATCGCTGCTCCACCAAATGGCAATAGCTGCGACAAGGTTTCAACGGCTTTCCTCCGTTTTGGAAAGGAATTAACATGGAGCATATCCATTCTTTGTATGCTTTCTATAAGAAAAACAAAATATATATTATAATTTTATAAATTTATAATATAACATACAAAAAATAAATTCTCACATCAAGAAATAAGACCTGTCTTTGCAAAATATTAAAAAGAAAAGAGAAATAGCAAACATTAAAATTGAAATCTAGAATATTAAACAAATTATACATGGAGAGAAATTTTAATTTGGAATTCTATTCGGCTTTTCTTGTTGATAAATTCTCCCAAAGGATATGAAGAGTCAACTGTATTTCATTTGTAAACTCGCCAACTCGATCGATCAGTGCAGTTGGCAAATTCACTGAAGAAATTCAAAATGGCGGCATTGAAAAGTTTTTATGTCAGCCACTTACCAACGAAATAAATTGCATCTAATTAGGATCGTATATATAAACATATATTTTTATTTTTAAATAATTTTTCAAATAGCATGCGATATAATAAATTAATACAAATAACGTTTTTCTAATGAAAATTATTAATTCAATGTGTCATACACACGCTCCGAAATTTGCCTAAAACTCGGAATTAATTCAATCTTGAATAAAATCGCATTCTACGTAGTACAGTTTTGATTTATGTTTTAAGTCAAGGACATATCAAGGTCATTAAGTGATATAAAGGAGATATTTTTTAAATAGATTTTTTTAGGAAAATATATTATTACCTTACATTAAATAGCGCATCAATTGTAAATAACTGAATACCTGTTAGAAAAATATTAGAGGAAGTTTAAATCTTTCTGAACTCTGAACTCTTGAGATCTCAGTGGGGGAACAAGAAAGCAGGAAAAATCAGCGACATTTTAATATACTTTTGAGATAATATAAGAATAAAATAATTTTAAAAAATCCGATATTCTATGCTACAAGATGTAGAAGATTTATTGCTCCATCTTTAAAAATATGGCACAAAAACATCGAATTCGTTATTTAAAAAAATACTCGATAAAGGCAAATTATAGCATTTCTCTAATTAATATAAATTCCATAACATCCTAATCAATACAAAAATCACCTAATAATTACTTCAAATGAAGAGAAATCTTAATTATTTTCAGTTAAAATCTGTAAGCAAACATCGAAATTTCTACGAACATTCAAACTTATGATGCCACTGTTTGAATATTTCTGTAAATCTTAAATGAATAAGAATTAAATAAAACGTTTAATATTACAATAAAACACCAGAAAAATCAAAATTTATACAAAATTCTTTACATAAAACATTTTAAAAAACAACGGAAAACGTCACGCACCGTCAAAATCGACAGAATATGGCGAATAATTGGTTTATTTAGATTTTGCTATTTTTTAAATAATTAACTGGATCGTTCATTTTATTAATTAATTTAAAGTTTATTAAAAGTATCGTTAATCACAGGGTAATTTTTAATAATAATTATCTATGAACGACAAAAGAAATTTAAGAAAATGCGTAATATATTCATAACTTGACGTAATATTAAATATCGATAACTTTCGAAGGGATACGATTACAAAATCTAATAAAATATTAATTTCTGGCTTGAATGTACAGTATTTTATTTAATAATTTAAATTTTAGAATGTTAAAGCATAAATTAAGAGATAATTCCGCCATTTTTATTAATTTTAATCAACCAGAAAAATGGTAAATTAGAAAAATACAGTATATATACTGAAGTGGCTCCATTTTTAGTGTAAGTAAACATACCTCGGGCCACTTTCTGCCCCATTATATCGTAGATAAAAATTTGCTGTGCGACAAATCATGGCTTTTTATTTATCGGCGAATCCATTACTTTGAAACTAAGTTGCCCTCTTAAAAAGAAAAGAAAAAAAAAGGAAAAAATTGCATTTTCATGCTTTATTTAATTTTAATTCGCTTAAATTCGTTAAACCGCAACAAAAAAGAGTGCATTAATTAGGAATTAAGTGCAATTTAATCTCTTTTTTTTTTCATAATTATTATTTCGCTATTTTCCATTATAGAGGCGAAACTAACTGCAATTAATAATATATGTTCTTAAATATGTATAAACAGTGTACATCATCATTATATTGCAGTTTAAAAACATAACGCGCCATTTCTTTTCCTGGTTTATACTCAGAATTAAATTTATAAATTAATTTAATGAATTTTAACAATAAGTTTATGTAAGTGATTTTATAAAAATTAAATATTTAAAATGTAAGTGCGATACGTCAATAAATACCAATTAATTAGAATTCGTTACATCATTACGCTCCATAAAATTTCATACTTTGCAAACCTAAATTGATGAATGTTTCGAAGATGTTTAAAGAGGTGACAAAGGTGAAGTAATGTTTTTATTAAATTTATATTCACGCTCATTTAATAGATAAATGTCTTAGTTAAATAGTTACTCTTCCATTTGCCATATCGGAAAATCATTCGAGAAAAACATCGCATAAATGAGAACATAAGAAAACAATCTCCTGACTCCCATATCCCAATATAATTCACCAAGTCGACATACCAGCGTTTTGACGTTGGTTTTTTACATATTTAGCACACCTACTTCATGAAAGTTGATCATAAAAAGCCCTAAATTAAACTATTTAAACAAAAAAAAATTTACAATGAAATAAAATAGTCTCTAAACAGAATTGAGGTTTATTAGTAAAAGTAATAATGCACATTTTTATCTTAAAAAAAGGGGATAGATGTTGAATTCAGTCTTGTTGGCATTTGTTAATCAAGGAGATCTTTCTTAATACTACTTTATCCTGTCAAGAAGCAAATCTTTCTTGCGGAGAGTCACCTAGTAGGCCTATTTGTCACTCAATGCCATTAATTTCTAACAGAACAACCAGGCATTCTTACTTCATATCATCTATCCGATAACATTAAAACTGATATATTTTGCTTCAAGCCATTTTTAGCTTCTTATTAAAATTTAACGAACGACATCTTCAATTATTTAATGTTAGAAAATATACAAGCATTTATTTACTCTTTGTGATAAACAATTCTTTAAAATATAAACTTATCGCTTGATTTCTTTATAACAACAAATAAATGAATCATTGCTGATAACAATTAGCTTTACTGTTGCTTTAAACTATGCTATTTTTAAATACAATATTAAACTTTTTGGGTAAAATAAATTAATAAAATGTACAGTACCTAAGTAGGGCACGCAATATTTTCTTACCTTATCTACTTAATTAATCGTAAGTTTTGGTTAGAAAAAAGCGTTTTTATATTCTCTTAACTCGACCATTTCTGAAGTACATGTACAACTCTCCTTTTACAATGATAGATAATATCTGCAAGGCTTTTAAAGATTGATACCTAATCATATTTTTATGTCCTATGTCTAAAAATATTCTTCAATAAACTATTAACAAACATCGACGGGATATAAGTTTTCAATTTTTTAAAATACTAACTGCAAACTCTTCATAAAACATTCCCAATTTCCCAATAAAAAATAAAAATAATAAATTCAACAAAGTCATTTCAGAGCTTCTTTAACACACAAAATTACAAAACAATTAAATTTAATAATAATTTTTAAGCGTTATGAGAATTTATTAAATATTAAAAATATTCCTTATACAACTGAAATTTTAAGTAAATTTACATGATTTTTTTGTTTAAATTTATAAAAATAACATCTTGAAGATTTTACATTGAATTCAGTTTATGAAATGAATATTCGTCTTCCTTTTACTCGTATCCGTTTTTAAATATTGTTAAAATTAGCTTATTAATTTGGGTGTTTTGAAAGTTAAATAGGCGTTATATAATATGTTCATTCCTTTATACAAATATAAATAACTAGATTTTCAGTAAGACAAACGTAGCATGTGATGATATTCTTCATATAGCAGGTTTTTTTTATTAAGATAAACATAAAATAAAAGCTGAAAAGGGGGATTAAACTGTGAAAAATAATCATCTATTGTTCATTGCACACCGCTTAAACAGAGTTAAATTTGGAAGTATATTTCATATGACTCACTGTTTGTTTAAAGTAGTAAAACAGATCATGCTTGGAATTCAACATATTAGCTCACTGTCTACAGGATATTTCCTTTTCTGTAAATCTTTAAACAGTACAGAATCATATGGTGTTAACATTTCTGACATATTTCGGATTCCAAAAGTCTCTCTCTCTCCATTGCAAATGAATTTTAAATATATTTATATATTCAAAGTAGATTTTATTTAATAAAAACAACGAGTTTTAGAAAGAATTCTCTTTAAGATAGGCGTTATTTATAGTCTATTTATCATTGATTTTTGCGTTAATATATACAAATACTTAATACAAAACTAAACAGCGGGAGTCTGTTTCTTGGGGGCCTCAAGTGGATCCTGGAAAGGCATCCCCGCTGTTTAAGTATTAGTCCAGGTTTTTCTTAAAGCTATGATTTTGAGTAAGAAGTCTCATCCAATTTATAAAACAGTGGCCGATAATTATCGAAACTTTTCAACCCATTTTACTATAAAAATTTACTATTAAAAACTGCGTAAAAGTTTCGAAGTAAATTTCTACTTAAAAAATATATATTTCAACTGTTATAGTTTTAAATTAACTTAATAAAATTTATATCCAAAAGTGCATTTAAAGTAAGCATTGATATTTTATTATATTTTAGAGTTCTGCAAAATTAAATTACATTTTAACTCGAAGGAAAAAAAAATATCTGAGATATAAAGAATAAAACGACTTTAAAACGAGAGAAAATTTTAAAAAAAGAAGGAAAAAATATGAATTTTCTTGTTTAAAAATACCTTAATCTAATTATGAAATCATTTTCAAAGTACACGTGTTTTATAACCAAGTTCGTTAGCAATATCTAAAAATAGGAATGATGTTTAAAGGAGTCGAAAGTGATTCGTTTACATGGCTGTACTTCGTGTTTATTTAAATGCAAATTATAAATCCCATTAAAAATCATTACGTGCCTACTTATTGGGCAATATAAATCCACATTCGGTAAATCTGAAGTTATAAATCGTACAAATAAACACGATAAAGTCGATATTGTTATTGAAGATTTTTTCAAAATGTTTACGTGTTGTCGACGTCATTAATTGTGATATAATGTTTACTATTTTATCGATCAAACAACTAAAAAGGATGTAGAAATTTAAGTGAAAACAACGGGTTTAAACGTTTAAAAGAAATGTGTAATGGCAGTAGAATTGCGGTTAATTGATTATTGAGCGGATTATCCTGAAAAGAATACTTCGTGTCTGAACGAATACGTAATGCAGGTAAGGCGAAACGGCATTAAGCATTTTCAATTTGACCTTGACTGGTCGGTAAGCGGGTCAGAGTGCTTTATATTTTTTTTACGAAAGCAAAGTATACACTCACCTTGCACTGTACACAATCCCACTGTACAGAATACGTACTTTGACAATCGTACCTGGCCAACAAGGAATCGAATTGGCAAAGCATGACGTAAGCGGCATGGTCCATTTCTTGCAACTTTTTCAGATCATCACACGTTTCGTCGGTCATGTTGCCGTAGAACACATGTGCTAACGAGTAGTGAGCACAGAAACGTAAATGAATGGAATGAAGATTATCATTTTGCCATCCTCCGCACATCAGACTGTTTACAAGCTCATCGTTTATGTGAAGGCACTGGTGAAGCGGGACAAAGCGCCGCAGGTAGGTTTTCCAGTCGTGAGCACAAGACGTCATAGCGACACTGGGAACCTGGAACTGTGATTTACAAACGTGACTAAACTGATACGTCAATGGAAAAGGAATCCACGGATTGCGGAACTGTGGCGTGAAGACGTGTGACAGCCCGACGATAGTGGAAGCGGCCACATTGTCCATAATCACTATGGCGAAAAACAAGAGCGATGCTAAACATTTCCGCCATCTTTGTAACACATCCCGGTATGGCTTGACCACTGTTGAAGTGCCAATCCCATACTTACAAACCAATGACATAGTTCATTGAGAGATGAAAAAAGAGAAATGGAAGAGAAATCGTTAGCAGCGACGAACATTCGGAGTCATCATACTCCTTGTGATGTGACCCGATCACCAGAGCAGGAAGAGGGGTGTACATGGCCGGCCGCCCGCCTCCGGGAGGGTCCGGCGTTGGGAGCTAGCACCCCCGGACGGCCACCCGGTCGAGGCGGGCAGCGTCGTCACCCTTCACCCCAACTCCCCGGTACGTGTGAAAATGTGAGATCAATGAGCCCCAAACTACCCCAACGAGACCACCAACGCTTGTCGATCTATCGTCCCATGGGGCAGGGACCTCCCACATACCGATATCAGACCACCTTTTGTCCTTAGCACTACTTCTTTTCAGATGTCGCCATGTTGGAAGAAAATTCCCTTCCTCACCATCCGCAGAGATGTCGACGCATGCTCTCATCCAACGCAGCTACGGCAGTAATGGTCGACCCGACTGACTATCCACCCAACGACGTCTCCAACATCTACCCGCCTTCGACTATTATCTCCCGCTTCACTACCAAACGTCTGGATGCGATACTTGCGATCTTCGATGCAAAAAAACTGCAGAGTCGTCGACGTTGCATCCACTCGTTAAGATCGGCTTCGCCCTCGTCGCTACAGCAACATCTGCGCCCTCTCGCTCCAACACCTGCTGTGACGTATTCCCTCTCGCATCTGCCATTATTTTTCCAATTCGTTGACGTTAAAGCTTTTAACTTTCCTTAATCGCTTTTTTTCTTTCCATTTTACTTCAAATTAATTTATATCTTTCGTTTTCTTTCAATTATAATAACTTTCGAATATTTTAAAATATTCTAAAATTCGACGCATTTTTTTACACCAGGGACCATTTTTGGTGTGAAATTCATTAAAGTTATTTTAAAACGATAATAAAAAATTATATTATNTTAAACTAACTCTAAATTTATATTATATAAAAATTTATGCTGTTTTTAATATATAATTTGATTAAAATTAGCCGAAATTTATTGCAAATTTAATATTTTAAATAATGTTTGTTAATGTGATTTATATTTATTAAATTGGCATCTGTTTGAAATTTAATTGATACACGATAATTTATCATTGTTCTAGGTCTTTTAGGAGTATTAAAATTACTTTATAAACCTTGAGTAATCACGAGTACAATCATTACTATAGCAGCAATGATAGGAAAGTTTGCTATCATAACAGAACAGCTGGCGTTTTATTTCAACCCCCTTATTTTCAATGGCACTGTACTGTATATGAAAGATTTTTGCACCAATTGTTTATTTTTCTTTCGCTTTTAATATGTACGTTTACAAATGATAATAATTCGTTATAATTTCTATTCATTTTAATACTGAAGTATGAAAATAGGTAAATATATCACGATTCAAATTCTAAATATACGTTCGAGATAAAATTCATCCAATCGATTTTTCCAATAATGCATTTGCCTCACAAGCGGTTATTCCTGACTGCATGCTAGAGAAGATAGAACTAATCGGTTCAAAAATTCCAGATCGAATTGATATAGTTGGATTAACTATTTAAATACAGGGTCTACAGTATTTAATTAGCATTAAATTTGTATACAATCATCATCAATATGATGATTTGCTGAGGGAAAAAAAAAAACCTTCCTCAGAAAATAAAATTCAGTTGGAAAGAACAAATTCTCCTAATTATAAGCTAATTAATCATATCAGGAAATAATTCATAAAGGAATTTTTGAAATTATTAAAAATAAAAATACATTTAACAATTTATTATAACCTAAAATTAGAGTTGTAAGCTCTAACTGTTTGGATTAATTTATAAAGTTTCTAAAACATCCTAATTGAAATTATTATTTTATATAAAGAACTTGTAACTAATGAATAGATCTAATACTTTTTAGTGTTATTATTTGTAATGATTTAGATATTTAAGCCTCAGGGTAAGCAAACAAGCATCATGTGAAATGTTTAAAGCGGTTTACACGATGCTTGTTTGCTTATAACTTTTATACAATGTTTTAATATACCAATTATATATAGACTTAATCATTTATATCAGTTACATAAATATGACAATGAAGATTTCTGGTCAAATAATCGAACAAAAAAAAATTTAGCGCATTAAATTTGCTACTTCATTACCATATTTTTTTAATACTATTATTAATCTGGATGTATAAATTATAAATGAAATGGCTTTATATTTATTATACATTGTTTTGAAATTTTTATTATGCTAATGTATTAAAATAGATTAATATTTATTTATATCCAGTATTAAATTATGTGTTTACTGTAGGACAATAATTTATCATCTTGTATAATTGAGTGAATAAAACTTTTGTCTTTGTTATAATTAAATAATTTCATTGAATAAATAATATTACATTCATATAGATTAAAATGAGAGGATTATACAAATAATCTTTCTAATTTAACTATACAAATGAATATTTGTAAAAAGAAAAGCGCATGAAAAGTGCGAATTTAATTAATAAAATTTGTAATATTTTTATTTAATTTATTATTACTCCATTTATTTTATAAAAAGCTTAATCAACAGAGTTTGAATTTATTTCTCTTAATAAATTCTTTAAAAATAATTTATCTAAGATACTTACGTAACTTCTGAATCCCGGAAGTATTGTAAGATGTGATTTAAGCGAATTTAAAGCTCAATATTAACTGATTTATCCCTCAGTTATATAAAACTTGGTTATAATCAATAGAAGCTACAACAAATATAACTAAATCATTATCAATGTTATTAAATTATACAAATTAAGAGATTCGTTAGAATTATTCCCATGTAGAAATATTAAATTAATATCAAGAGAGAGATTTTTTATAACGAAAAGTTTAATTTAAAAAATATTATATATATAAAAAATAAATTTGATTTTATTCATTGTGAAGTTTATCAATAATTTTGGCCGCGAATTTTTTCATAATTTAATATAATTCCAATGGCTACAACTTAGTAATCCACCCTGTAAATAATGTAGTGAATTAACTAACCATAAAAATGAGATTTATATGTTTCATCGTATGCTTTTGATGATAATATATTAGCTTCATTAATTTTCAGACGCCATTAAATTAAATTGTATCAGTAAATAAAAAAAAAAAAAAAAACTAAAATATTTTTGATGAGCAGCTTAAGTTAACCGAATATGAAAGTATTTTACTGTATGTATCAACAATAAATGTTCCATGCATATATATATAATAATACACAACTTAATAAATGTCAGAATCCCTTTTTAATTATTCCAACAGCATTGTACAGGTCAACAGTATTTTAATGTTTCTCAATATATACAGGGATCTTAATATTTTTTCCCATTGTGTAGAATATAAAAATGATACAAATTATTCTTATAGTACATTTTCCTTCTTTTCAACTCCACACTATATATATATTTATATATATTTTGGACGTATGAGTCAACATATATTGTCTTTGAATAACTACAATTTTTTAGAATTTTTTTGTTTTTTTGTAATTTTTTAACAGACAGCACATATCAATAGCTAGATAGACAACCTACTACATGACACCCTATTAAGGGTTATAATTCATAATTTTCATGCTTCTGTGTTCTCTGCATCCTTCATGAGCACATCTCAGATATATTATTTTCCTCAACATAGAGTAAGAGATACACTATAGACTATTTTATTTTTTAATAGATGGATTTCTGTTTGTACACTACTGTTTTTTTCCCCTTGTAATCCAGAACCGTATTGTCTAATTTAATATGTGTTTAATGTCGAAACGCTTCCAAAATGGGAATCATTGTGAATTAAACTAACTCTAAATTTATATTATATAAAAATTTATGCTGTTTTTAATATATAATTTGATTAAAATTAGCCGAAATTTATTGCAAATTTAATATTTTCTTAAAAATTAAAGTGGGAGAAATGTGTGTTTTTGTTCCTCCCCAATTTATTAATTGTAATTAGATTCATGATGCTTAGACACTAACTAGAATTATCTACGTTATTTTTTTTAAAAAATAATTCTTTTCACAAAAATCACATGAACATTCGTGTTTATATAATAAATATCTATATTTTTGTAACTTTTATAACAGTACATTTATAAAAATGCGATAGCAAACAGCATCAAGATGGTAATTTGGTGTTGGAGGATAAAAACTCACTATGAAGCATTTATTTATTGTTTTTTTTTATAATTTTGGTGAAAGCCTTGCAAGTTTTCTGAAATAAAACTTTAACAAAAATTACGAATACGACAACTCACTTTCGTCGATTAAAAAATGACACAATCTTTCCCATTTCTAGAGTGTTTTGACTTCGCCTAATCCGTATTCTTGAATGACAAAAAAAATTTTATGAAAATAAGAGAGGAAAACAAACTGCGTAACCGAAATCAAAAATGGGTCTATATCTGAACTCCGTATTAGTTATTTTAATTGATTTGCATTTGTTCTATTCTACAACTTTACACAGCACCAACGCAATATGGCTAATTGCATGANTATAGTAAAATTTAGGAAATCAATAGTGTAGAATAATAGTGTAGAATAATGTTAAAGCACATTAATTCTTATGATATTTAATTAAGGTTTGTGTAACGGCTACGAAGAAAAATCAAAGAAGTTTAAGAAAGGGATGATTAAACCGATGATTTAAGGAATATCAAGCTCCAGTGAATCTAATTAGCGCTTTCTGGAGACCGGATTTCCGACGAGGTTGGAGCAGTAAATTCGAAATACTCTCTTCTCTACGAACTAAACAAGGGTTGGGATCCTTAAAGTTCGTTTTAATTATTTAGCACCTCGTAAAGTACGCTTGTTAATTTGAGCTCAGAAATAATCCCCATCAGGAATAGAATTAGTGATTATACCTCTATTCTTTTTGGCCAGTTGCTGGAAGAGATGTCGAATTTCTACCGAATTTTATGATGTCACTTGAAAGTTTAGATGGCTCTACAAATAGAATAGAAGTTTAGATAATGAACTTAAAGGACTTAATGACTGAAAGCATAGTTGAAATAGCCCAGAAAATCCGACAAGGATAAAAAAAAGTTGTCGATAATTAAAACGCGATTGGAATTTCTTGGAAGAAAAGAATCGAATCTCTCCTTCCTAAATTCTGTCTTCGCTTAATAAAAAATCAATTGAAGTTGTATCAATTAAATGTTTTTCTCCAAATCCAGTTATTACACGAATTGCCTTGTATTTCATCTTAAAGTGTGAATGATATCAGATAATAATTTCCAATTTTACAATTAAAAATTCTGATTTCGTACCGGTTTATTTACATATTTTATCCCTAAAAATTAAGTTTTACTGTTATAAACAATAAATTTTATTATATTTTAATTAAAAATGGCTTTTATAACGTGAGAAATATGAAAGAATAAAGCTTATTTTACATCTCGCATGACAAAATACATACAGTCAAACCTCTGAACTACGGACACTGACGGGAAGATTAAAAGGTCCTTTGTTCGAAGGTTAAATTTTTATGCATTTTTGTTTGCGAAGAAGGGCTGCTGTTTACTTTATTTACTTTATAATGTATTATTATATAACGAAACACCTGCGATACGTTATTATATTATCATTCAAATATTATGTATTGTAGATACTTTTTTTTTATGACAGTCAAACCTCTGAACTACGGTCACTAATGGGGAGATTAAAAGGTCCTTTGTTCGAAGGTTAAATTTTTATG